CACATCAGAGATGGTCAGAGTATAAGAATTACCCCGCAGGGACTTGAGAAAGTGCCTGCATTTTTTATATCGAGGTAGCTTTCTTTTCACTTGTTTGTTACGGTAAAAATAACCAATAAATGTTAATAAATGTTAACATTTTTAAGTTACAAATCTACATGGATGTAATGATTTCAGATTAGTGCCAGGGGGTCTGGCAGACAGCACAGGTTTGCTGGCAGTGAATGATGAAATTCTTGAAGTGAATGGCATAGACACAGGCAAAAAATCTCTGGATCAGGTGACCGACATGATGGTGGCCAACAGTGCAAACCTCATCCTGACCATCAAGCCTGCCAACCAGAAAAACAACATCAGTAAAAAGAAAGTAAAACATCTCCAGACTCATATCAATGAAAATTCAAACGAATACCAGCACAACAACACCTCCATATTGGCAGGAAACTTAAGTCGGTCCTACCTGGTGGACAAAAACAACAACTATCAATATAATGACTTTTACAACATCAAGAAAGACGACGTCAACTTAAGCAATTACGATATTTGCAAGAACAACGTAGACAGTAACAACAACAACGTTGCCAATGATGACGTTGACAGCATCGACGAAGAGACGGACTCCATACTTAATTATGCAATGTCTGAAAAGCCATCAGGCATGTCTAGACATCACTCGAGTAATTCTTCGTGTGACACTCGTAGCCACCATGATGATAATGATCATCAAAATCGTCACCATTACTTACACAAACAAGATGAACATCATCACCATCTTCATCAGCAGCAGCAACATAAACCCCACCAACATGCAGGCCATTCCGACATTCCATCAATCAATGTTGAAGAATCTGATGATGACGTTCGTGATGATGAGGATGATAAGGAAGAAGATGTTTTATAAAATTGTGCGCCTATTACGTTTCTATATATTCATGCATATATATAACACACTAAACTTTTCAATGTGCAATGTTTACCATAGACAATAATGAATATAAATCATTGATTTAGAAGAACTTCTTTGTCTGTGTTATAATTATGTGTTAATAAGCCAAACACCTTTCCTTAGCTTCCATGCTCACGATTAATTTTTAAAAAATTTTCTATAAACAAAAATATATAAGTGTCAAATGTTATACTTTTATGTGTATAATCTATTTTAGATGTGTGTACGATATTTTTTCATTTTTCATAGGTCCACGTAAGGCAAGCAAGATTACACTTATCTTTGTTTAGAGCTTGTTTTTCATAGAATTTTCCAACATTTCGTAGCTCTGAGTGGGTTATTAAAGTAAAGTTTAATATTTTCGGTACTAGCTGGAGTTGAACCTGAACAATTGCACATTGATTTACGACGCCCTACCTTTATACTAATTCATTTTAGATCTGCATAAGACTTAACAGTATTATTATACAAGATATTGATCAGTATTTTACACAGCATACTTGACATTATTTTCTAAATGTATATTTTTAAACCCGTATAGTTTTGATATAATCTTATCTTTATTAAGGCTTCACTATTTTTTGGTATTAGATATCAGTTAGTCTGTTGAGGAATATTACTTACATCTTTCATATATTTTCTTTCAGTTGTAATTATTAGATCTGTATGTTATATTTTCCAACTTTTTTTATTATTCAAATTTTTGAGTGCAAAACTTTTTTTGGTCACGAACTTTACCATTCCAATAGATTTAGAAAATTCAATTTTGTATTTATTTGACAGCTGTTTCGTATTAATTAGGATTGTTAATTTTTGATATCATCTTGTTTTCTTTTTTCCATTCAAAATAAAACGTTTTAACCTAGACGCTGTATGTAAAAAAATATTAACGTTGTATACTTTTCCTTCGTTACCTTTCCACTCTCACATGTCGCCAATTACAATTACAATTACACCTTGACCAATTGAGCAGCAAAATTTAGTCAGTCCCTTACCAGCAAATCATTCATGAAGTAACCGTAGGTCGTCAAACAAACGGTTGAGCCAGTCCACGAGATACAAAAAAAAATTAGAAACAATCGAGGTCGCCATGCCTTGCTCACCTGGGGTACAACACGCCCACATGTGTTACTACTCTTTTGTGACGTCGGTGCGAATAATTAATTCAATGAAATTAACGAGTCTGTAGTTCTGTTTCAATGTTTCAAATTGTACATTTAATAAACCAAAATTATGATTTTTGAAGTTATTTTTTCCAAATTGTTAATAAATTCATTATCAGATTTTGTGACGAAATAGGAAAAACATATAATTACAGAAATCAAAGCTAAGAGAAATTGAACGAAATGAATTTTTGAAAAAATTTTTTTTATGTGGATGCACAGGCTTGACAAATAAGGTTAGTCTATTAAATTCTCGACGCAATGATCATCACAATGATCATGATGATGATCGAAGTCGTTCTCATCACCATTATCATCATCGTCGTTGTCGTCATCGTCGTCATCATGAGTCTCATGGCAGTTTAAACTTGGGAGGTGATGTCTTGTTGTTGTCGTTGTTGTTGGCGATCTTCATGAAGCGATGTTCAGTCAGTGCATCGACTGCCTCGACGATTGCCGAGCGACATCTGTAGTGTGGTGTGGTGATAATGTTTTCAGTAATTTATCAGTTGAAGATATAATTTATCAGTTGAAGAGATAATTTATCAGTTGAAGAGATAATAAGCCGGGGTCAGAGAGTTTTTATCTAGCTTCGACACCCTGAGCAAAAGCCATAACTAATTAAAACATTTAATTACAAGAAACCAGATAATGTTAACTTTATAAAAAAAAGCATAAGATGACTCCAATTCAGACATTAATGACAAAATAAACTAAAAACCAAACAATTAATGGATAGTCACTTGTTAGATTCGTCAATAAATTGTGGTGTTATTTGCTTCATTTCATGTGCACTATCCTTTAACTCAAGCAGTTGAATTGGTTCGCCTCCTATCTTCCTCATCATCTCCTGTAGGCTCACGTGCACGCTCTTCAGTTCCGACGTTAATCCAGCTGGTCGGTGAGGGTGGCGGTCACTCATTTTAATTTCCAAATTATCATTGATTAGTGTAATTAGTGAATTGATGAGAAGTGTGGAAGTTGCGGGTACTTAAAATTACTGACACATCAATCATTCAATTGTTGTCTGCTACCAAAACGAAAATCATACCATAACGAGACGAAACAAATTTAGCATAGGAGACGAACGGATGATCATTGAAATAAATAAACAAAGAGAAATGCAAGACGAACTTGGCAGCGAATAAGTAGAGCAACAACAACAACAAATGAAAACCAAAAATAAAACCATAATAAGCATCTTCTAGTTTTTCATCGGGCAGGTAGACGTCACCAGACACGGGCATCACGTGACGTTTGCTATCCAAACTTTTGATCAGTTTGTCGTGCATGTAGGTGAACTCGTCTATTTGACCACTGATGGATGGCAGCGTTTCTTCCTGTTGTTGTTGTTGGTGGTGGTGGTGTTGTTAATTCCTTATATTTCATTTTAAACGTTTTGTCCGTTAATTAGTCAATCAATCAATTGGTTGATTGACACTCAATCACTTAATTACCCAATCAATTAATTTTTAATAACTATAATCTGTGTAGTGTCGTTCTCGAAATGTATGATAAGTTGGAATCTTCTTACAGTTGAACCTGATAACTGCAACACAGGACAACACGGCACTTTAATCATCATTTTACTCGTTATCATCATCAACAACAATTATACCAGTATAGAGACAGCCTGACTGGTCGACTCCAGTCTTTCAAGTTCACGGAGTTCAAGTTGAAGGTCATGTTTCCTCTGTGATGTTTCTTCAGCTAGCAACCACAACTCATGCAATTCTTCCTGCGTGCATGCGGTAAATTAATTTTCATTAAAACACGAATTTGTATTATTTGCATTCAATGATTAAAATGAAAATATTATTCAATCGTTTAAAATTAAACAAAAAGTCATTGGATTTTCCAACCAAACGATTACTCCATTCATAGTCTAACACATTTAATTATTATCTATTCATTCACTCAACCAAAGATTCAACCGACCAACCGACCAACCAACCGACCAACCAACCATAGCACGTTTAAATTGTTTCTGTGAGCATTGTTCTATCATAGCATTGAGATACACATATTGTATGTATCTCGAATATATCAAATTTATATCAAATTTTGTTTGGGAAGCCATCTTCAAGGATGATGACGATGACGATGAATTATTTTTGGCGCCATTTTTGTACGATTTTTTGGCTAGTTTTGACTGCTTGTCATCCAAAGCTTGTGATTGGTTGATGATGGATGTGAAGAGGTCTGCATATTTTGTAATTATTAATTATTAGATTGTTTAATATTATTATTATTCAATAGGAGGAAAATTATAACTAAGAATAATAATAATAAAATAACAACTATCATCATTATGATAATAAGAAACAGATAATAAGAAAATTCCATTCTTCTCTGGTCATTTGACCAGAGAACAATGGAATTTTGAAACAAAGTTTAAACACATGCAGTCTTCAAACCCTTGGTGACTTGGGCACTTTCAAGTTGCTTGGTTTGATCGAGGGGTGCGATGGAGGAGACATCCATGCCCCCAACCGAATGCATATACGAGGATAGGTCGGGGCCCTTCGCCTGCATCGTCGAGTGCAACATGTTCGGTGTCGATGACGTCAAACCTCGCTTGTGCTGATGCGGTTTTGTGACGTCAGCATCTGAGAGCGTCGGCGTAGCTTTCATGTGGTGTCGCAGAGATCTGGCGTCGTCGTCGTCATTGTGTTTGCCGTCCACGTCGGTGTGACCATCTTGATTCAGTGAGGTTGTCGATTGTTTATCGCTGGAGGAGTTCAATGTTGGGATTGGGAAGAATTGTTTTTTAGTGGTTGTTGTTTGTTGTAGTCGCTGCTGTTGCAGAGGACCTGATGCTTTGTTGTCGTCTTTTGATGATTGGCTTCGCTTGTGATGGTGTTGTTGTTGTTGGGCTGGTGACATGTTGCCCTTTGACGAATGGAATGATTTGTTGATGCTCGACTGAGAAGACTGCACGGGAGCTTTGTTCAAATCTTAAACACCCATAATCAAAAGATCAACTTATCTTCATTTTATAATTCAAACACAAATTTCAAAATGAAACCAATGAAAACAACGCTGAATACAAATGCATGTCGTCAATGCAACAACACACAGTGTCACTCAAATTACAGCAAGTAAACAACAAAAATAAGCAACATACACACACACACACGCACACACACATCAGCACAAACAACAACACACCAAGCAAGCACTAAACTACAAACTTGATTTTTTCAGACTGGATGATCTCTGTAGAAGACCGCCTGATATATTTCTAGAAGAAGGTTGTTGTGATGTCGTTGTTGGCATTATCTGCGTGTTGATCAATTATTCAATGCAATGTTGATGCAATAAAATTATAACTTTTACAAATTATAAATCATAATTCTTACGTTAATCGTAATTATAACGCTGCTTTCTATCTCCAATCTCAATATGATTTTTTTAAAATTATACAAGAAGTCCAATTAAAATCATCCTCATATCGTCATCACCATCATCATCATCATCATCATCGTCATCATCATGACGGCAAACGACGTTACACCCAACATGATATGATTATCATCTTCATATCACCTAGATCATCATCATCATCTCCACCACTATCATCATCATCATCATCATCACATCTTCTTCACGATCATCATCACCTTTTCCGTTGCTTTCAATGGACCTTTGGATGGCTGCATGTACCTGGACGCAACAATTTGACCTATATTTATAATTATTATTATTATATTTAGCAACAACTTGACCCGTAATAATGATTATTTTATTCAAAAAATGTTTTTATTCTTTTATTATTAACAAGATATCAAACTGTCACAGATACAAAAAAGAAATGGCACGACATGTAAGAGGAGCTAAACAAAAAAAGAAAGAAACAAATGAAATAAATACCGTAACACACACACACAGACACACGCGCGCACGCACACATGCACACACACACGCACACACACACGCACAGACCTTTTTTCTTGACTTGTTTCCTAAGTGGGTCCTCTTTCATATCAGGCACCCTGCTTGTTAGATGTGTATCAAATGAATTTGTTAATCATACTATGTGGTTTTTCTACAAATTAATCGATAAATTAACAAATTAATTGATAAATTTATTTATTTATAACAAATTATATGATTAAATTAACTACATTGTGCCTGTCTAATTAATTTGGTCTAAGGGCCGAATTGGAAAATTTTTTTACATACTTAATTTTTTTATCCAACTGGCGCTGTTGTTCTAAATGTGAACATTTGATTTCTATGTGAATAATGGAATTAATTAATAAATAAATTAATTAATTTAATTAATTAATTAATATTAACCAATTGTCTAGAAGATACTAGTATCTTATTACTGTAGGAAATAAATTGTCAGAAAAATTGTAGTAAAAATAATTATAAAATATTCATAATAAAATGATATCATTAATAATTACATTAAAAAATATTAACACGATATTAATTAATTAACTAATTAGTATTTTTTAACAAACATATAAATTACTATATAATAGTTGCATAAATTTTGAAAAATAAATAAATGGATGGATGGATGGATAGACAGACAGACAGACAGATAGACAGACAGACAGACAGACAGACAGACAGACAGACAGACAGATAGATAGACAGACAGACAGATAGATAGATATGGTAGATAGAAAGATAGGTAGATAAGTAGATAGGTAGATACGTAGATAGCAGACAGACAGACAGTGAGACAGACACACAGTGAGATAGACAGACAAACTGATTAAATAGTCTTGTTTAACCAGAATTTTGAAAGTTAGGAGAGGCTAAATCAGCACCGCTACTGTTTGTTGTGTTTGCGATGGTGCTTGGTAAGATGGCTGTTACATTTATTGAGTCTGAGTTTTGCCTGAAAAATAAATTTTGAAAAAAATTCTTAATAATTAACTTTTCATTTAATTTAATTAAGGAAATGAAACAAAAATGGAATTTTTCAGAATTAATAAGTCACTAGATAATAAAAACCAAATATTGTGTATGTATTAACGTCAGTACCATCAACATTATCACATTAATCATCTTAAATAACATCATCACAATCATCTTTTCATGTTGTAAATGATTATTCATTTATTAATAATTAATTAATAAATGAATAATCAATTAAATAAATAATTAAAAAAATAATTAAATGAGTAACTAGAACACCAATAAACCCTAACCGAAAGAAATGTTGGGGCTGTTGGTGATGGTGGTGTCGAATAACCCTGGCAGGCGACTTGACAAGAGACGTCGAGACATCAACTTCAATGTCTTTGTTCATATTTCTATGTCTGCTCATTGTCGTTGTGTCGATTGTCTCGGTTAAGAAGATGTGGTCTTTTGAAGGCTGTCAATGATTTTGAAAAATAGTGGCATAAAATACATAAAATGACTAAAATATCATTTTGTTCAGATTGGTTTTAAAATGACTTGACATATTTATTTTTATTTTCAAAGATGATTAATTCAAAATAATAAATAAGATTAAATTTGAAAGAATTTTCATAAATAAATACTGCCATAGAAAATTAATTTATTTTCAAGTTTAAAAAAATTTAACAATCATCAAAAACTTACAAAAAATACTTCATTACTGTTGCTGTTTGATTCGTTATCAATGTTGCATGAGTCGAAGAATGTGCCTCGATTATCCAATCTATAAAAAAATTATTTTACAAAATTATTAATCCATCTTGTCTAGTGACAATTGAAAAAAAATTAAAAGCAATTTTCAAGCCTACTTTGAAATATTTCTATTAAAATGACTTATTTAACAGTTAACTAGTATTGCTTGAAATTAATAAATTAATATTTACTAGAAAAGTAAGTAAGACAACCTGAGAGGTGATGGAAGGTACCCAGATCTAGTAAGGGTTATGTTGCTACTGTAACTAGGTGCACATGAAACTTTGAAATAGCAAATTTCAAAAATTTTTGTAAATTAATTTTCATAAGAATTTACCAAAAAATCATTTTAATATTTTATAAGAAATATAAATTGAAATAAAAAAATAATAACTGTTGCAATCATTGGACTTTTTATCAGAGAAATTTGAAGTGTTCATGTTCATTGATATTGAGGAGATTTTGGCATGAATGGCTTTGTCTGGCCTTGGAACAAGTTTACCATGCTGATGCTGGCCTGAATGCCTAATCAATTATATTATTAAGTAATTAATTAGTAACATAAGTAAAAACTCTGAGATTTCTATGAGTTATTTATGATAACCAACAGACCAAATCATCAAAAGAATAGCTAAGCTAAGCTAAGGGCCTCCTAAGACAAAAGAAGGAAAACAGAACAAAACAAACGATAATAATAATAAAAAATCAGCTATTTCAATTCTTTAGAACGTTACAGAAATTAATTTACTTATTTTCTTTATGTTTTGAATCCGCTTGTTTTTCGTTTCTTATCTTTTCAGCCATTATAAACTAATTTGAAGTATTTGTTTGAATTTTCGCTCGTTTAATTTGAATTTACTTTTCAATAGCATTCATAGACAACTATTTTTACATTTAGTGGAATATTTGTTTTTGGTTTTTAGAAAACAAAATGGCGTGCTGATTGTTTTCGTTTCTGTTTTGTTTTTTTAGGGTTTTTTAACATTGCGCTGCGTCTGACGGTAGATTGTTTGAATGTGAAAAATAATAAAATAATTTTTTCAATTTTTAATGGAAGAAACATCCGTTAATAATTTTTCTAATGATTTAGAACAATTGGTCAAATTGCTCTGGGGTGGCCCTGAAAATTTGAACGAAGAAATATTCTTACGATGGAACCAAGGTATTTTTTAATACTTTATTTTTATAAAATTGTAATAAAAGCTTCAATTTTGAATTTAATTTGATAATTTTTTAAGGTTATTATTATTCTTATCTTATTCTAAGAGCCTAGCCTAGCTCTATATTAAAATAAAATAATAAATACTTAAGTCTTTTTAATTTTAATAGTTTAATTTAATTAATAGTAAGTTTGCAAGTAAGTTAAAATTAAAAGTTAGTAATAAAGTAAGTAAATAAGTATGAAACCACGCTTCCTGTTGTTTACATAGAATAATATTGAAAACATTAAATTTGGCTCCGCCTGTCATTAATATTCATGACCAGCCGAAGCACTTTATTTTTTTTCAATTTGTGATTATTTTAACCGAATCGTTTCATTTATTTATATTTGTAATTTTTAATAAAATTTTAATATCATTGTTTATTTATTATTTTTAAAATATGTTATAAACATGAGAACTATTTGTATAATAGTTCTGTTTTGTTATTTCATATAAATAACAAAACAGAAGTATCATCTAATAATTAAATTTTTGTTTGGCGCATCGCCACAAATTCTCCACTCCATTTGTATGCACTCCGTTTACGGCCCGGGATGTAATGGAGTGATTTACGGTTTGGTGGGCTAGACGGGTTATGGCTGTTATACTGTTATAAGCAGCTCATTGATCCGTCCAAACTGTTGTACCTAAAATTATTAAAATCGAACTATATTTCATAACCAACAAAAATGAATTTAAAAATATTAAACTTTATGAAACCAACCGGGCAGAACATGTCGCTGTATCAATGGCAACAGCGTGGCAGCATCTCGTTTATTTACTTCCACCAGAAAGGCATCTTTTGTTTGCGTATCGATGCCTCCAAAAACCCAGCGTGTCCTAACTGGACGTGCATTTTGGTTTCTCGATCATTTTGCAAATGAAATGCAGCTTTCATCTATCTGAACGATGTGTCCGGGGCTACCTATTCGTGCAGGGTTATCACGAGCCCAGTCAATGCATAGATCTCGATGTAAATTGAACCAGTCAGGTAAAGTTTGCCTGACGTCTAAATCTAAAATCGACGCAACCATAGCCTGGCTAACGTCGTACATAGACCAGAAATACGTCATGTAAAAGATTACACAGCTTAACTATTACATTTAAATTTAATTTAAATTTTTTTTATATTTTATTTTAATATATTTTATTTATATTCAATTTATATATATGACCTTATTTTATTTGGCATCTAAATTATAATTAAACATTTTAAAATATAAGATAATATATTTGTTAAATAATTTACAATAAAATTACAATAAAATGAAGCGCATCGGTTGGTCATGAATATTAATGACGGGCGGAGCCAAATTTAAAGTTTTCAATATTATTCTATGTAAACAACAGGAAGCGTGGTTTCATACTTATTTACCGTAATCTCATCCTCATTTTAATATTTTCAAATTAATATTTATAAATTTTTTCCAATAGTTTTTAATTATAATATATATGAAATATATATAATGTAACACAATTTTAAACTTTTATGAAGGATTTGTTTTTAGTGAACATGAACCTTCAGCACTGCTCCAGTTAGACGGGGGACCCTGCTCTATCATTGCATCAGTGCAGGCTTATTTACTTAAGAATCTGTTATTTGGGTCGACCGACGATGTTAGGCAGAATTGGAGGAACTTATCAGGTTTGTACTTCATATTGTATAGGTATGAGTATGTGTGTGTATGTGTGCGTGCGCGGGTGTGTTTATGAATTTGAGTCATTTTTGTAAATTCCTTGAAATATTGATTGATTGCATCATGTTGAATATAGAATATATTCTAAAAGTTAAATTTAAAAAAGCTGTTAAATTTAAAATATCTTATGATAAAGGACAATAATTTTTTATTTGATAAATTAATTTAAAGTTTTTCAAATGTTGTAAACAATTTTTTTTTCAAACATATCTCAGCTAGTGACTGCGAGTCATTATTATGCACATCTCTATGTGACATCATGCAGCAAGCCACGGATAGTGATGCTTATGTCATTGTCATTATCGATGACATTGACTCTACCAACTCCATTGCATCGGCAAATGACATTTCAATCTTTGAGAAGTTTCACAAATTGATTAGGTTACATAACAGCAATAAATTTTTTTTTTAATTATTTCATCACATCTGTAAACTTTCAATTTATTAATGATATTTTTTTTTGAATAATCAAAATATTTTAATTTTTTTCAAGTTCTAAAAAAATTTCTGGTCGTGAAAATTTGAAGTTAGATATGACAAACCACTTGAAGCTATTCTACAGCACATATGGATGCCTACTCTTTCTCTATTCTATCTTATTTACCAAAGTTGTTACTCATTCAATTTATTCCTTCCATTTATAGCTTATTTATTCTATTTATGGTATATTTATTCTATTTATAGTTTATTAATTTTGTTTATAGATCATTTTTTCTATTTATAGTTCATTCTATTTATAGTTTATTTGTTCTATTAATAGTTTATTCATTCTATTTATAGTTTATTCATTCTATTTATATTTATTTTAATTAGTTAATTGATTCTATTTATAGTTCGTTTACATTTCGGTTATGTTATCCTAATATTTGGACATTATAGTGTACCAAAGTTTAAAAAATATTTTATTAGGGATTAGGGAGATTGAAAGAAGAAATTAGTGATGTGGATGAATCTCTGATTGATCCTGTTTACGGTCATGGAACGTTAGTATGTTTCTCTATGTTTATGCATGTCTCTATGTTTCTCTACGTTTTTCTATATTTCTCTATGTTACGTACATACAAATTAATTGTTCTGTTTCAATTGGTAAAGTTATGTTTATTTATCTTTTATTTTTAAATTATGTTTCAATAGAGTTTTACAAATCTTATTGTAGTAATAATGAAAAGTTTACCTATAATACAAGCATTCACTCAACTACTCACTCAACTTCTCACTCAACTTCTCACTCACTCGCCTTCTCACTCACTCTCATTCATTCACTCACTCACTCACCACCTTGCAGACAAAGCCTCATCAACCTTCTGATTACAGGCAAGGCAGTTTCATACGTTTGGGATAATGTGAAAGAAGTTTCTGAACTAAGTTTGATGGTTTTTTTTATCAGTTTTCAAGTGAAATCACTTCAAGTGAAATCATATTTTAATTTTTGGAGACGAAATTTAATTAATTTATTTTTTAATATTGTTATTATCATTTACTATTCTTTCTTTTATTGTTTTTTTATTAATATGTACTGTCACAATATAAATTATTTTTCATTTCTAAATACGGCCCAAGTAAAATACATTTGCATCACTTACATTGCTTACTACTTTTCATTCTCCAATATTGCTTACATCAACTCACTTGACATTACATTACATACATTAAATTTCATTACTTTCATCACATCACTTACCTTTTCAGAACTCTGTGGCATATGTGAGAGGTCACAGATTGGATTCTTGACAATACTTGAGCACTTGAGATATTGTGAGGTTCGTTATTAGGTTGATGGCATGAGACTTTTTTCTACTTTAATTTGTCCATTTTATTTCAATTTAGTTAATGATATTTTTTTATAATTTTCTTTGAATAAATTTGTTTGCAGTTTAAGAGGCGGTAGTGTGTCAGTTTGTATTCACGTATTCGCGTTCATTTTATTGTTTACTATCTCGTGTTCATTTTTGTGTTGGTGCATTTTCTTACAATATCTGATAGATGAGGAATTTTTAAGAGTAAAATAAAATGAAATTAATTAAAAATAAATAAAATGAATAAATGTATGTGAAAAAGCATTGTCTGAATAACAAATTTTTAAATAAAATAAATAAATAGATAAATAAAATAAATATAAAAATTGTTTATTAAAATTAACACTGTGTGTGTGTGTGTTCTTTTTTTAAGGTTGGGTGGTTCCTAAAGAATCCCCAATATCCAATTTGGTTGGTTGGTAGTGAAACCCATCTTACTGTTCTTTTCTCTGAGGTGTGCTATTTTATTCATCTTCTTACATTTACGCACGCACACACATATACAATCACATTATATAGTACATATATACACTTACATACATACATGTACAACATTATATCTACACACCAATATACAAACATACAATATACGCCACACACATGCTTATACATACACGCGCGCACATATAAATACATATGTACACAAACATGTATAGACAGACACTCACACATGTGTAAATATATTTACACACAGACACAAATGCACACACGCATTTATCCCAAAAGGATACGTCATTAGTAGGCGATGAAGGACAAGAAATGAAGATAAGAAGGGTTTTTGGTCAATATGATAGTGAAGGTGGGTCACTTAGAATTTCCTCTGTAGATTTTTTTTTAATTATTTATAGATTTTTTTTAATAAGTTGGTTTTATTGGTAAATAACTCAACTTTGTGGCATTAAGTAGCACTCATCCTGAATCATTTCTACATATTTGTCATAAATGATTGATTTAAATTGAAGGTTGATTGAATTGTTTTAAAAGGTAGGGGCTTCATAACATCAGAGGCCCTCATTGATGTCATGAAAGCTTTGGACCTCTTTGCTGACCCTGAATAGTTAGACTTGGCGATTCTTCTTTTTCTTCTTCTTTTTCTTCTTCTTTTTCTTCTTCTTCTTCTTATTATTATTATTATTTATTATTATTATTATTATTATTATTATTATTATTATTATTATTATTATTATTATTATTATTATTATTGCTTGAAGTGTAAAGATAATGGTGAACAAGTTAGACCCTGAGCAGTTAGGAGTGATTACACTGAACAAGTTTACTGAAGAGTTTTTTCCCTCCCAAGCAAAATCTAAGTCCGTTTCATTCAAAATGTATCATTATAATGGCCTCCAAAGATCCTCTCCTAATAACCAAGTAATTTTTTTCTTTGTCTACCGTTTTACTAAGGTTCCAGCGTGAATAAATTCATCATTTAATTACTACTGCATTGCTTCGTTATTGAAATGTTGTGACGTTTTTGTTGTTGATTGGTTTAAATTTTTAACAATTGCATTTCTATTGAATCAAATCATTTATTCATTCACCTAATAATATTTCATACTGGAAGCCAAGGAATTTCTAACTAAATTGCACTATCATATTTTTTCCATTATTAACTTTGTACTGTGGATCAATTTGTGTACTATAATTCCAGTTTTTGTTACTAAATAATTTCATCTTAACATTAGCGAATGGTTTCATCTTTTGATAGGTTTGTTACTCCGAGGCAGAATGTACCATAATGGACGTTCCTGAACTGCAGATCGTCAGTGACTACAGCCCCATCAACATGTGTCTTCTCACAAAATGGCCGACCATTGAAATCAGCTGGAAGAATAATGCCATTCCATCTCTTAATTAATTAGTTTTCCAGATAAATCATTGGAATGTTGTTGTCGACTTAATGAATCTGATTTATTTCAATTCAAGTCATCTTCAGTCTTTTCCACACATATAAGAATTTATATTTTTCAGCTAGAATCATTTTTATACATATTTTTCGTAAGCTTTCAGTCCTTTTGTTTTCAAAAAATAGGCTTATTAATATTCTGGTGGCAAAATTTATTTACTCTTACCGAATGTTTTTTCATTGTTAATAATAATTTATCGTTAATTGATCATCGTCGTAATAGATTATGATTACATTTGTATAAAATGATTGAATGTACTTTTAGTCGTTATAATTTTCTAAGATTGCCTCAAAATTAGCATCTCAGTTATTTATAAAAGTAAAAGAAACTAGCTTTTTAAGTTGAATGTATGAAAATTTATCGTGTGAGATGAATTAAATAAATTAAATTCTCATATTGTGTTCTGAACTTTTAACATCTTTCATATTCTCTATATTATGGATTGTGGTCAGGGGTGGGCACTGCCGCTCGGACCTGGACGTTGGTGCGGTTGAAAATGAAATAGCGTGAAAACTTAAGTAATATGAATATATATACTTATTTATATACGGATAGATAGATATACATAGATGAATGAATACAACGAAGTATATTTGGATAGATAGATATACATAGAGGAATGAACACAATGAAGTATGCATCTATAATTTGTCACTAGCGAATAACTGGCTTCGTTGATTTTGATTACATACATTACATATAATTACGTTTTATTTTCTATACATGTACATGTATGGTTACGTTATATATGGTTGCATTACATTTACTTTACTTAATTTACATTTAGATTACTTTACGGCACCTTAGTGTCACGCTTCCACTCCTATGATAATGTGGACTGGCGAATCTCGAATATGATGCCTGTCTCCACGATAATATCAAACGTGCCGCTTACTCCGTTCGTTCGTATTCGTATATGAAACAATTTGCGCGAATTTCAAAACTCCAAGTTTGCCAATTTTCAATTATTAAACCGTTTAAACTCCGAATTTTAAAGCATTTTAGAAATTTTCTGTAAATATTCCACGATGATGTCATTTGAAGTCGGGGTAATTATTCCAGCGGCTGGATCGGGTCTCAGAATGGGAAATGAATTGAATGTGGCAAAACAGTTTGCTCCCGTGTTTGGGAGGCCTGTCGTCTGCTACACCATATCTGTCTTTCACGGGCATGCATTTCTATTTTTATTCTTTACGATACTCATGTTATTACAATTACTTACTTATGACACATGGGTCTCTTCTCTCTTATTTATTATTTTATAATTTTAAAAATACTAAATACAAATACTAAATAGTCATTATGTTTATTTTCTTATCTTAGTTAAACACAAGAGTAGAGTTGTTACTTCTTCCTTATGTTGTTGACAAAAGTTAATTTATAATTTACTGAAACTCTTATTGAAGTTGAGAAATAAGTGTGCCTACAACTGTGTTTTAAAATGTTAAATTAGGTAAAGACAGAATTCATTTTCAGTTATTCTATTTTTATTAAAATTAATTTAATGATAGTAATATCTGTGCAAAAGTATTAAGAATTGATAAATAAATATTTCTGTTCTAGTCTAGCTATGAAAATAAAATTTTTTATGATTACCAATTCCATTTGAATGACATACATAAATGGTTGTTTGTTGCCAGAATACCTGATGTAAAAAACATTATCTTGTTGGTTGGAGAAGATAGTAAGTCTTATGCAGAAAAGTTGTTGAAACCATATAATTTTGACAAAGTTATAATTAGCGTTGGATCAACCAGCAGACACCGAACCATTCATGAAGGAATCAAAATATTAGGCAGAATGTATGTCAAACCTGAAATAGTTATAGTTCACGATGCTGTCAGGCCACTGATTCGAGTTAAAGATGTTGAAGAAATTATTATAGCTGCTGAACGTATGGAGGTCATTTTAAAACTTATATGAAGTTTTCATAATTTTTTGTAATTTTCAGTTGTCATTATCTGTATAGTAATATCACAAAATTTTTCAGTTTTTTTGTATTTTTAATTACAGGCTGCTGGCATGGTCAGACCATTGGTATCAACTGTATTAGAAATTAATGCTTATGACAAGTTAGATAACATGGTTCGAAGCCTAGATAGAACGATGCATAGATCCAGTGAGATGCCTCAAGCATTCCAGTATGTAGTTCTGAAAGATGCATATGACAGAGTAAGCACATTGCTTCAAAGTTATTTTAATAATTTTTCAACCCTAAAACTAAAATGTCAACCCTAAGCTGACTTGCACAACACATCATAAAAAGCTTCTGTAGTACTAATTTTTTTTATTAATGAATATTTTTTAGTGCTCTCAGTATGATTTAAATCATGGCACAGAATGTTTGGAACTCATTAAGAAGTATACAACAGCTAAGGTTCACCTGGTTGAGGGGCCGGAATATTTGGGAAAGGTTTTTTGCTGTGTTGTCACATTATTCAACTTTTTATAAAACAATTATCCATTTATCTCCACAATGTTTCTGTTTATATATATATATATATATATGTGCGTGTGTGTGTGTGTGTGTGCGTGTGCATATGTGTAACACACATATAAACAAATGCACGAGTTTGAGGGAAAATTTTTTTTCATAATATATGTAGTTTCTTGACTTTTCTTTTTCATCCGTAATTAAGGATTTGTATTGAATGTTAATTTAGATAACCTACCAGCATGATCTAGATGCCTTTGTGAACGTCCTGCTAACGCAAGGTCCGTAGGAATTTCTGTCCATGGGAATTGTTGTCCATAGGAATTGTTGTTGAATGTATTGTATTGTTATATGAACAACGTAAAAATTCTCTTGCAGGGATCAAGAACTGGTACGACTTTTGAGGCCATTCCATTTGTTTGCATGTTGTAATCTGCTGTAATCTTCTCTCGAATTATGATTTCCGAAACACTAATAAACAATATTTGTCGGAAGTTTGCTTTTGTTCTTTTTTAATTCTTTTATTTTTTTGCACGTTATTTAATTGGTAATAGTGATTAGATTTTTTTTGACAATAACTTTTTCAACAATTTCTAAAACACTGTTGAAAATTCGTTTTATTTTAATTACTTTTGATGAATGAACAAATCGTGAATACTTACAAACTCTTTACACCATTTGTTGTATTAATAAAAATTCACAAATACGTCTAAAAGCGGTCGTTTACGAGTATAAATGTTCATAACTTTTGTGCATGCACATCACAGCAACATTATGGCGTGTCTGATCTCGAAAGGTGACGCAAAGTTTTTTCTACTGATTAAATAAATTCTGTCAACTGCAAATTCTATCTTCCGCCATTTCTCTTTGAAACCAATTTTGGCTTCCTCAATTTTACCAAAATTGAATTGTCCAAGTGAGAGGTGAGGTGTGTACTCGTGATCAGGTGGAATGCAGCTGAGGTCATTGTATTCAGGGAATGCTGCATGGAGAGAGCTTTGTAGGTGCACAATATCTTCATGTTTTTCACCTATATATAAATAAACAGTTTTTTATTTTTATTATCATCTCAATTAAACATATTTTGTAACATTTTATGTTTCCACATGAAAATTTGATGAAAATGTGTAGGCACCTGAAGACTGACCATCTCTCAACGGCTTCAACCACAAAGTGCAGCTGGATTTGTGTTTGAAGTGCTGAAAAGAACTGGCATCGAAGTTGACCTGAAATGATTTTATATTATCTTTTTTGATCATGGAGGATATGTTTTCTTTGCAAGTTTCATAATTCACACCCGTTGGATCATCGTGAACAAATGGGTAGACTAGGTTTATGTGTGGCATCCATCGCTTGTAGGATTTGTCATGTTTGCTGCAAAATAAAAAAGCAGGAGTGAGAAAACATCTTACTAATATTTTGTTTTAAGAATTTTAACAGGGCTGCATGTGCTGTGTAATAACATTCGACTCTCGTGGTAACTACCATTAAGATTTATTAAATGCATCATTAGATAATAAATAATATGCACAGGGTGAATGTTAGTAACCTTCTGATATCTTGGATCTGACTCCAGACCTCTTCAGGTGGAATGATCACAACCGCACTTTTGTTTGATTTCTTTTCTGCTCCTCCTTCCATTATTTCATTCCCTGTTTCGTTTAGTCTTTAGTCGAATATGATTTTATTTTACAGTTTTTTATCGGCGTGCATTAACTTTTCAAAGCACCCAGCAACAAATACAAAAAAAACATCCATCGTATTTAATGACGATTGCGACTTTAGGACAAAACGTTGCGCAATCGTTATTCAGTTTAAATAGATATTCTACATTCGATATAAGTCGAGTTTTAAATGTCAGCTGATTCTAGCAAAGAAGGAATGGCCTGGCCATATATATTGAGGATCAAATAGGTATGGCTACCTCGGTGTTTGAACGTGCGTGCGCATCTGTCCTTATATAAATCGTCCAATGTCAACATCAAGTCTCTGTCAATTTTCAGTCAGTTTAGTTATTTTTAAAACATTAGAATTTATGCTCATTAAACCAGCACAATAACTAAACCAGCACTTATTCCGTAATAATTTCTGTTTCTTATGTGTAATCTACTTTTCAAATAAGTGTTGGTGCATCGTTAACTTTATAATTTTAATTCAACACGTTCATTTCAAATTGCTGAGAAACCAATAAAGATTAACATAGACACGCACGCACACACACACACACATTGGAACATTACCAATATTATATTTTCATCCAATAGTTCCTTTTATGGGTATACATACATGACGATTAATTTAATATCTACATTAATTTATATATCAGCACTATTAAGTAGCATTGAGCTGCCTTAAAAGATCGCACGTTGCAAGTTATTGATCGATCACTGAGTGAAGAACAAAGAAGAAAGAAAGATCTGATGTAAGCATTTTATCACAAAGGATCATCATATCTGCCAATGCACTTTCGCACGTGTTTAAAATGCATTGTACGTATTTCTTTGTATGTCCTTATATGTGTATTTGTTAAAAATATTATTTAATTTTCTTAGTACAGCACTTGAAAATGGATCATGGTCATTTATTTAACGATACTGTAGATGAAACGAGACGATACAAGACACGACCGAAAGTTACGAGAAATAACGATACGATTCGATAACGAGATCTCGAATAATAAATTTAATTTAATAAATAAGAAATAAGATGACAAGATTTTGATCCAAATATTTTGATACTATAGACTAATTAATCTCTAGTCATTAAATAAGACATAACAGAGTTGAAATGTTTCGTTTAATCAGCCGTCGTTGTGTTAGTTTAGAGGGTAGGGACAGTAATCTTTATTATGTAGTGATTTAAATGAGAAAAATTTTATGGCTAAAAATCTTATGAAGTAAATTTTTGTGGTAAGGTTTTTAGATACAAAAAGGAATGGGAATATGAAAAAGCGTAGGAAATAAAAAATAATAATAGGTCGTGAAGGAAGAAGAGACGGATGCAAGTGAGAAATAAAAAACAATCAGCCAAAAATGCGTTTAAAACTTCAACGCGGACCCATAAATTTTATTTTTACTCTATAAAATAAAATGGCTTGTAATTCGTGTATCTGTGTTGTATCATAATGTAATGATATCCGAAATGTTGTATCAAAATGTCATTATATCATATAATATAAGTAAAATATATATATATCGATAATCATTGTTCGGCTAATTTCTTTCTCCTAAATGTAGACTTCTGAAACATAATAAGTTGTGTGTGTGTGTGTGTATGTTTATTTGTGTTTGTATGTGTATTTGTGTTTGTATGTCTATTTGTGTGTGCGTGTGCGTGTGTTGTAGATAAAATATTGTACGTATAAAATTTTACCGTTTGTGTATGTGAGTGCATTTATGTGAGCACATTTGTTTGTGTGAGTACGTTTGTTTGTTTGTTTGTGTGTGTGTGTGTGTGTGTGTGTGTGTGTGTGTGTGTGTGTAATAACACATTCCCACCAATTCCGCTTTTATTCATCTGGGAGTTAATTTAATTTTTAATTTCAAGAACTTTTTTATCTGACACTATATCGATTTTATCAACATTCTTATTACTATACCACATTCCTTTTCATCCTATCACCCTCCACTCATTTCTTCCTCCTCATCATTATTATTATTATTATTATTATTATTATTTATTATATTTGTTATTGTTATTATTATCAACATTTTTATCATTATTATCATTATCAGCTTGATATACCTACATAAGTACATTCTACATACATAAGTATGTATGTATGTTTGTATGTCTGCGTTGCGTCATTGTACGCTTTGTATACGCATTATTATTTATTGTGTACATGTGATTGTCAAACAACCGATTAGAATGTAAAAGTATCGTATCGTATCGTAATAAATGTGACTTCTTATAACGTAGTTTTGCTGGAAGTTCTTTTTTCCAACTGTTTTAAAAATTGTTGAAAAATAAATTGTTTAAAAATACGCACTTATAAGCTTGAATTCACTTGCTTATTTTACTGTCGTTGGTTAAAAATAACGTATAAAATTATTTTAATTTCAACTGCTTTGTTTTCTGACGATCGGTTGTTGTGGTTTATTAATAGTTAGTTCATGATTCCGTGCTGCAGGTCTTCTTGTATAATGCCTCTACAATCTCCATTATATATATAAGTGTGTATGTGAGTTTGTCTGTGCGTGTGTGTATGTGTGCGTGTTTAAATTTATGTGTGTGCATTATTGGTAGAAACAGCAGCTTTCATTGCACAGCATAGCAAAATATGCTCCTCATTCTTTTCAGTCAGCAATTTTTTTATAGTGTGTAGGACATGTATCTATCTACATATAATACATGCATGCGCTTTCTTCTCATACCACATGTATTATGAATATTAATTTTTATTTCTTCGTTGGTATTGCGAAGAGAGAAAGAGGAAGAAAGAGAAAGAGAGAAAGAGAGAGAGAGAGAGAAAGAGAGAGAGAGAAAGATAAACGCAAATGACATTGTTTAATACACTCGAGCAATTACATCTTAAAAATATGCTATAAAGAAAACACGTCACGTCACGAGCCAGAAAAGATCGCATCAGATTGAAATACACGCCAATGGTTCTAAAATGGTTCTAAAATGGTTACATATTGGTTCCACGTTGGTGACTTCAGTTCCCCGCTGATTCATTCAATTATGCTGGCTGATGCTTGTTGCTTCATATGCCTTGCGCAACTTATTAGGCAGCATGTCATCTGCATATGTGCATACCCTGGCTGCATGCCTGTTTGTCCGTTTCTGTACCTAAGTACCGCGTGTATTTTGTGCGTGTGCATGTGCGATATGTGTGTGTGTGTCTGTGTGTGTGGTGTAGTGTTTGTACGTATGTACGTGTGTGTATTTGAGTATATATGTGTATAGGTCTGTATGTGTGTATATGCGTGTGCGTATACCGCAAATAACACCATTGCACGATGTCATAATGATTATTAAATGCGGTTATAGCGAGGCAGTTGAGTTTCCTTCCATACATTCGTACATACAGTGTACTCACTCGCGACTTTAATTTATTAATACCCACACCGGCGTATTTTACCACCTTATTTTTGGGTAAAAACAAAAACGGTGAATGTGTCTCTGAATGTGTGTTTTGTTTGTGTTTTTTTTGTGTTTTTTTTTTTTGTTTTCTGACTTAGTTGGTTGATGTTTATAATTGTAATTAATTGTAGTAATTATAATTTATAATATTATCGATGTTTTGTTTAGTCGTGTCTTATATTTTTGTATGTTTAAGTAATTTTTAGTTATGAAGTTTGTGTATTGTACTTTAATTTGTATATCATAAATTGTATATCAACGTTTGTATATCACCGTTTTTGTATCATTCAATTTGCATCAATGTTTGTATATCGATATTTGTATACCAGTTTTCATATATCATCGTTTGTATATCCCACTTTTGTATCATTCTATCTGTATCAAAGTTTGTATCTTGATATTTGTATATCAATGTTTGTATATCATCGTTTATTTATCTAAATTTGTATATCAATCAGTGTTCGCATGTCGAAGTTTGTATGCCTAGGTAGGTAGGTAGTTGTATTAATTGTTTCTAGTGGTTTATCGAGTGCAGTCTGCCTGAGAGAATAAAAAATACACTCATTACCCCGCAACCTTTGAACTCCAAAGTGTGATGATTGACTGACTGATTGAATAGATAGATACTTGCAATGAATGAATGAGTGAATGAATGAATGAATAAATAAAATAAATGAATGAGCGAAAGAACGAACACACTTACAAACTGACGAGCAGACGAACGGGCGAACGAACGACGAACAAATAAAAGAATTAATTTTGTATGAACAAATGCACGAACGAACGAACAAATGTATGAATGATTAAAAAAACTAATTAGTTATTTAATTAATTGATGAACGAACAAATGGATGAACGAATGAATAAATGAATGACTGAGTGCTTGGCATGAGCTAAAATAAATGTAACTTATATTCATACGAATGCTTTTTGTGGTGGTTAGTCACAATAAGAATTTGCTTCTGCTTATGAGGCAAAGCTGCCGTCTTTTGAACACTAAAAAAATGATCATTCGGGAAGTTGAATGAATGTTTATAATTATAACCAGCTAGTGAACACTGAATGAATGTTCACACTTTACATGAATGAATGTATGAATGAACGTATAAATAGTTAAAAACAAATGAATGATTGAATAAATGAATTGATTGATTGATTGATTGAATGAATTGATTGATTGAATGAATTGATTGATTGATTGATTGATTGATTGATTGATTGATTGATTGATTGATTGATTGATTGATTGATTGATTGATTGATTGATTGATTGATTGATTGATTGATTGATTGATTGATTGATTGATTGATTGATTGATTGATTGATTGATTGATTGATTGATTGATTGATTGATTGATTGATTGATTGATTGAATAAACGATCAACCAAACGAGCAAATGAATTAATAATTAATAAAAAGAATGAAAGAACGAATGAAGAATTGAATGAATAAATGACAGAATGAATGAGTGTTTGTACAAACTAAACACACAAATAAGCTAAACAAAAATTGTTATTGTTAATAATAATAAAACTATTATTATTGTTATTATTATTATCACCGCCATTAGTATTGTCATCATTATCGGATTTGGTTTGAGAGCTGTTGAAAGCCAGCTTTCGTGAATTCCATAGAATTTTTCTACATGGATTTTTCAGAATATTTTTGACATACTTTTTCAAATATAATTTATTCAGATATGAACTTTACAATTTCAAATATTTCAAAATGAGGTCATCTTTGCGTGTTTTAAAGAAACCACAAGCATTATTTTAAAATTTAATTAAAAAAACTAAATGCGAATGTTAAAATAAAATACACCAGAAGAACTAACGGTTATAACGGAATTCCTAGTTAAGAAGGCACAGTATGAATAACTTTATTAGGTTACCTCAACAATACAAGATACTCGATTCGTGTGTGTGCTTGTGTGTATGCGTGTGTGCGTGGCTGTGTGCGTGCGTGTGTGCATATAAAGAAAGCACACTATTTTGCATCAACGAAACACACATACAATATTTTGTATACAAATACATCACACGTACAACACATTAGTTGACAGTATCAACAGACATACAATATTTTGTATACAAATGCATCACACATTACGCATACAATAGTTTGTATGAAATACAACACACATGTATACAATTCGATGCTGATACAATATTTAGTATACAATGCATCAGATCAGACATGCATTAATTTAACTACAACAGAAATCATATAACACTTCGTTTACAACACGTGCTAAACTCTTAAGATTAAAATTGAAGTCGACGTCATTAAACACTTAACCAATCATTGATATCAACACGGCACGCACACATACAGGCACACACACACATACATACACACAAACACACACAGACGAATATATACTACCCAGACACTTCCCATACACACAGTTACACATACAAACAGACACACATACAAATACAAACACACACATATAAACACACGTTCAAACGCATTTATAAATAAACATATCCATTTATACGAAATGGAAATATTGTATGTACGTAAGACCAGCCAGCCAGCCAGCTAGTCAGGCAGGCATTGACATTTTTATTAGGAGGCTATTTTTCACTCCGCACTGCCAAATTATTGGTTAATTAATTGGGAATAAAAATATATTTTAGTCCCCGAACGTAAGTAAAGATGGACGAATAATGAATTAGTGAATTACCGATATGCTATCATAATGTTTGGAAAAAAGTTAAGTTGAAAAAATTTCCATATGAATATATAAACATTGATATTATAACCGTTGGGAAAACTGTTGATATAACCATTTATATGACCTTACATACAAACATGTGAGTGAGATTGGTGCTTTTGAAAGTGGACAAACGCATTTTGAAGACAAAAATACTCCGAACATTTGAAACATAAGTCGATGCGGTAAAATACAAATTGTCAATACGTAAGTAATATATACATACAACATATATGCAGTTATAGACACACACATACACACAAACAAACAGACTGAAAGACAGATACACACAACACACACACACTCAAACCAACATATGTCACACACATTTAAATACACAATTCAAGCAAGCATATATACACATAGACACAAACATACAAAGAAACATACATATACACACACATACAGATAAATAAATACACACACAGAGTTAACGCAAAGAAAGAAGAAACGAAGAACAACATCATAATGATTGAATGACAGGGCACTTAATTCTTTTCAAGTATGGCAAATCAACGAAGACTTTTTAAACAACGCAGAAAACACTGCCTGAAAATGCACACACACACACGTACACACACGTACACACACACGTACACACACACTTACGCGCACACACACACGCACGCACGCACACACACATGCCCGCACACAGCAGTATAATAATTAGTTGTTGTAATAATAATAAAAATACCCCGATAAATAATAACAACAACAACGATTACAACAACGATTACAACAACAACAACAACAACGATAATAATAATAAGTATTATTATTGTAATTGTTTATTATTATTTGTATTTTTGTAGGTTCGAAAGAAAGTTCTTTTTTGTTATCACCTAGGTGTGTTTTTTGTTACCTTTTCAGATAACGTAATAATAACAAGTAGTAGTAGTGGTAGTAGTAGTAATGGTAGTAGTAGTAATAGTAGTAGTAGTAGTAATAGTTGTGGTAGTAGTTGTAGTAGTTGTTGTGGTAGTAGTTGTTGTTGTTGTTGTTGTTGTTGTATAAGTAGCAGAAGTAGAAGTAGTAGAAGGTAGAAAGAGTTGTAATAGTAGCAGAAGTAGTTGTCGTAATAGTAGCAGCCGTAGTAGTTGTAGTTGTACGTACACAACTTCATTCACCCACACACTCATAAAAACACACATGTACACCCAGACGTGACGTAGTCATGACGTCATCATATTCGGCCAGATTAGTATCATTCGATTTTATTGATTTACTAAATACAATACGCCACCAAGCCAGGCATGAATGCCATTAAATTTTCAATTTGCGATATGATGCGTTATAATTGATTGATTTGTCACTCTGAATCATTCGTAGATTTATTGATGATTGATTGATTGGTTGAATGATTGATTGAAATGTTTGTTGGATGTTTAGTTGATTAATTGACTGGTTGGTTGACTGGTTTGTTGATTGATTGATTGATTAACTGATTAATTGGTTGACTGTTCGATTGGCTGGTTGGTTGACTAATTGGTTGGTTGATTGATTGGTTAACTGGTTGGTTGATTGACATATCTTTCTCTGTTAAATTAACTGTCATTATATAACATTGCATTACATTCAATAATTAATTTCAATCAATAAATTAAATTATAATTAAATTCAATCATTAAATTAATTATTACAAATCGTTTATATCTTTGAAGAAACGCACGCGCAAACATACTTTTCGTCATATTAATATATAGAAAACACCGATTATATTTATTTATATATTTATATTAATTTATTCATTTACATGACGTCATCGCCATAATTAGCAGATAAAGCTAATGATTCAAATGATAATAATTCGGGTTTTATGGTCATAATATATTCACAGTGTCACCATCAGCGTCGTCATCATCGTCACCATCGTCATCATCATCATATTTACTTGAAGTGGTATTCTCGTAAATGTTGATAATAATTGCACTACATGCATGTACCACGAACAATATATACATACAGTCCTTGCTAATTTGTATTATTATATTTCGTTTATTAATAATAATAATAGTAATAAAAATTGTTATTATAATTACTGTTACCATTATTATAATTATTATTATTAAAGTTAGCGTGCCTGGGACCGAAACTTCGAGAGTATTAAGAAGTGGTTCATTTTTTAAAATACATTTATTTTCATTTATGCGGTGTGACTCGCCCAACGACGAATGACAACAACAACAACAACAACACCAACAGCAGCAGCAACAACAACAACAACAGCAACAACGACAACGACGACAACAACAATAATAATAATAAGATGAATAATAGTGATAATAATAATGGTAATAATAATAATTTCTAATTGTATTCACACATGAACCGTGACTGCGGTTTTTTCAACCACGTTCTAAGAGTAAATAAAAAGTTTATAATTAAAAGAATAAATAAATTTATAAATTGATAATAAATAAATAAAAAATAAATAAGGTAATTTAAAAGTGAACTTGTATATTAAATTACTCTGAGAGTATTTATATAACGAGTATGGTTTATTTACCAACAGTTTTTTTTAAATGCCAAAAAAAGAAACAAAATAAAACATTACGTAATACTCATTGTAGTAACCTAGTTTCTATAAATAGCAACTTCTCATTGGGCTATTCTACGTGTGATTGACACTTCTACAAGCCAATGGGAGTGCAAACTCCGCCTATATATTTATACTATACCTTGTAATCTATAAATAACATTAAGAGCGGCAAGGCATGTTAAATAGTATTGTCATTAAGTTAACACATGCAGTCAGTTTGCTTCAGGTATTCGTACGGCTTTTTCCGTGAAATTTGAAAGATTTTCTTGAATTTCTGAATTTAATTGAATAAATTCACTATTTAAATGAAAATTAATTTATATTAAAAGTAATTTAATTGAATTATTTTTTGGTGCGTGTGTGTTTTTGGATATTTATTGAAATAACATCATAAAAGCAATTGAATATACTGCAATTAATTAGTTAGAGGTGTTTGTTTGCTTGTTTGAATTCGTTTTTCAGGAGGATACTGTTTTGAACAGTTTGTTTCAGTGAAGTCGAGTGGAGTGAACATTTTTAGTGTTAAATTGAAAGTTGAATTTGTTTTACAAAACTACTCGAAGAGGCACAGCAGAGAAAATTTTGTTGAAGTTTCGTTGTTAGTTTTTTAACTTTTGAAACTATCTTTTTACAGCCGTCTAACAATTTGCTCGTGACAAAAGCAATTTTTATCAGAAATAGTAACAACAATAACATTGACAACAACAACAGTAACATTAACAGCAACTTAAACAACGATATTCGTAACATTAGAAACACAACAACGACGACAGCAACATGCCTCTCTCATTCAACTTCGACAAGAAGGAAGTCGATAAGTATCTACGAGAAGAGAGTGATGAGGCCGACGAGTATGACGACGATGGGGATGATGACGTCAGCAAGCTGGTTGACATTCCGCAAACGCCAAAGTTGGTGTTGAGAGATGACGAGGAAAAAGAACATTTGACCCCTGACCTCGAGGAGAACGTCTGTCGACAAACAGGCCACGTCATGGATTCCTTCTTTGCCACCATGAACAGCAAGAACCGACTGCACGATGCCGACTTCACAGATGCTCCTCTCAGGCACCCAGTATCGTTGGCCGCAACCTCAAATGCCGCATCAATGGTCGCTTCATGTTCTTCATCGTCCTTGACACAATTCGCAGCTACAGCTTCAAGCACAGCTTCATCTACAGTAGCTGCAGCTTCAGCTTCATCATCGTCGACACCCTGTTCAACTCGAAGATGTCGCCGGAAGTCCTCGTCAAATTTGAAGACGAAAGCCCAGGGTTCGAATACATCTGCAGCCAAACCATCTGATGAAGTCGACATGGGGTGAGTTGTTGCTGTCGTTCTTTGATGTTGGTGTTTGATTTTGTAGGTTTGGTAAGCGTTGTTGTTGCTGTTGTTAAGGTTGTTGTAGGTGTTGTTGTTTGTTATAATAATGTTGATTTAGTTAGAGATAACATGATGTTGTTGTTGACGTGGGATGTGTTGGCGCTTGTTGTGTCAGCATGTTAACGCTGGTTACATGACAGCAGTTACATTAATTTTGTTGTTGTACCTTTAATTTCATTAATTACGCGTGTCGTTGTACCAACACCAACAATACCACCACCAACAACAACAACACCATCACCATCAACAACATTAACAACAACAACATTGTACCTTGGTTATCACAATCACAAAAATCGATTTTGTCATTGCTATTCTCCGAGATTTTTTTACTCATAAATAATAACTTGTCGTAGTCACATTTCGAATATTAAAAAACAAACAAACAGACAAACAAACAAACAAACAAATAGAGAAACAAATAGAGAAGCAAACACATAACAGTAGAGAAAGCACATGTGAAAGCGCGGGCATGCCTGGCGCGGGCTTGCCCGACGCAACTGTTCAAAAAAAGTTGGCAAAAATTTAACAAAGTTTCGGAGAGGAGCTAACTAGTTACCGCTTGACTTTTAATAGCCCCTGATAACGCTTTGTAATACGCTTTAAATACGCCACAAATAAATCAATGAAGGTTTTTTTCCATTTTTGGGAGAATAGTTTAGTATTAATATAAAAATTAAACTACTGCTACTACTATTACTACTACTGCTACTACTACTACTACTGCCACCGATCGCTACCACCACCACTACTACTACTATTACCGTTACCGCTTAATTGTTTTTTGCTCAGTTATATATTTATATAATTGGGAAGTTAATTGAGAAAAATATTACCACGTGACCACATGTTTTTCATGTTTCTTTCTTGTGAAATAAGTCACAGATGAACAAACAATCTATTCATATATATCTGTGTATCTATATCTTGGTGACATAAAAAAATGATCTAGATTTATTTTCGTAAATATACGAACGTAAAATAATTTTTCTTCAAAATAAGTTGAAGGTTGTTGACTTTTTTTATTTTTTTTGGTAGCTAGGCCCGATTTTGTTGATTTGTTTAATCAATATACATTTGTTCATTTATACCTGGATAGCATTTTTGTGATAATTTTTTGTGCGAGTGTATGTATGTGTGTGTGTGTGTGTGCGTGCTTGTGTGTGTGTGCGTGTGCATGCGTGTGTGTGTGTGCGTGCGTGTGTGTGTGTGTGTGCACAGTATCAACAACAGCGGTCAATTTTTAAAATGTCCAATAGAGAATTCATTACTAGCATTGAATATCGACAACAAGTAAGAGGGGAAGAAATGAAAAAATAAACTCGACTACTGCTCTAAATAATGCATGTATCTTGCTTTCAAATGCTGACATCATCACAAAGAAAGATAGAATAATATAATAAAGGTAGGAGATTCAAGTCATCCAACTACAACTATCTAAGGAACAAAGGAAATAGGGTTACTCTTATAAAACCGCACGTACACGCACGTATACGCACGCGTGCGCACATACACGTACGCACGCACACGCGCGCGCGCAGACAGACATACAGACGAAACGTGTTGAGTGCCAGGCAAGCCCAGATAGGTTGAATAGCAAGAACATATCGCGTTATAAACTATAACCATTATAAAATATAACTGTTATTATTTACTACTGCTGACTGTCTCTATTTGATATATGTGACGATGACAATGATGATGATGACGATGATGATGATGTGGTGATGATGATGTTGGGATGATACTCTCATCTTGGTGGTTATGGAGATGATAATGATATTGTGACGATGATGATGACGATAAAATGATAACGAACATTTCTATAATTATATTTGATGACGACGATTGACAGCTTACCTTTCAATAATGCCCTCAAATTTTCTCATTTATTATCACTTATTCAGTTCTAGTAACAATTGTCATCATTCATTTAATTATTCAGTCAATCATTCAATCATTTATTCATTCATTTCTGATGCATTGTTTTTTTTTATCGGCTGAACTCTTCTTTTCTTCATCCGTTCATCCGTTTGCCCATCCATCTCTCTCTCCGTCCGTACATCAATTTATTTTCCATCCATTCATCCATCCATCCATTCATCCATCTATCTATCTATCCATCCAACCATCCATTCATCCATGTATCTAACTTTCTATGTTCAATCTAATTGTTTTAATTTCAACTCATCCACCCATCTGTCAATCTTAAATAAACGTGATTTACTGGCTACTTTTTAAACAATGTTATTATTATTATTCTTTCAACGTTGTTGTTGTTGTTGTTGTTATTATTATTTTTATAACTTTTTTCGCCAATTTATTTTGACATGTTTTTGTTACTCAATATTTTGTTTTGTTGTTGTTAGTTGTAGTATTTAAATCAATCGTGAAAGATTATTATTATTATTATTATTTATTTGTTTATCTATTCAGTTGTTCAACCGTTCGTTCGTTCGTTCGTTCGTTCGTTCATTCGTTCGTTCGTTCGTTCGTTCATTTGTTCATTTATTTGTTTATTCATCCACTTATTGTAAGAACGTAGATGATGATTGAATTTATGTGTCAGATAAAAAATTCTGGAAATTAAAAATGAAATTAACCCGGCAAATATCTCGGAGGATTAGATGTGATCAGATAAAAAATGTTACACAACAACGAACAGACACACGCACTCACGCACGCATACACGCACATACACGCACATACACACACATACACGCATACACACACATACACGCACGCGCACAAACAATGAAACAACAACAGCAACACATTCCGTCTATGCAACACGCACATTAAACAGCTAATATGAGCTATCAAATTTCCATCTTTCAATAACGCCGACCACGTTTTGTTTTCATTTGTCTGCTACTGATGATGATGCTGATGCCGCTGCTGCTGATGATGATGATTGGATGGTGGTAATGATGATGATGACAGGGATGGTGATGATTATAAAATAACTACTTAAATGATGATAACTATTACGATGATGGTGTTGGTGATTAATTCTGACGGCGATTTTAATTATTTTAGTAGTAGTCACATTAGTATTGGTGCTACTATGAGATTACCATAGAGGGGAGCTATCTAAACTACCAATACTACCACTACTACTACTACAACAACTATTACTACAACAACAACAACTACTACTACTACTACAACTAATATCATCATCATCTTTTTCTTATTCTTCATCTTCTTTATCAGCGCCATCATCACCTAAGTGCGAGAAACTAGCCAAGCATAGCAACCGACTGCTTGTATAACACGATACGACTGATAATTAAAAGCTCACTCGCGGCATTCCTCTCTTGCACGTACGCGCAATATACACAGTTACCTACACGTAAATACACATAGTTACAGGTATAAACACACAATTACACCTACAAACACACAATTACACCTACAAACACACAATTACACGCACATATACACATTCAGTAGACTTATACGCATTCATACACACACATAGGCATGTGTGTAAACATTTTTGCTTGACCACCTAATACCTACACACACGCACGCACACACACACACACATACACACAAACACACATATATACAAAAGTACAACACTATACACCTGCACACTCTTGTACACACTAATTCCTATAAAGAAAAGTACTTTTAAGTCACATATCTATCCAAATACGACACTTTATAACAAGCATGTATGCGCTATATCGACACTATATTATTATATTTCACTCAAACCAAACATACTTGCAAATGTTTATACAAAAATAATGTGATCACATATATATATATATATATATATATATATATATATATATATATATATATATATACAAATACACACATACATACAGATACATACAAGTACATACAAACGCAAACATACAACATACATACAAAAAGATACATAACTTACGTTGCACAGACAGATAGATGGATGTATATGTATTGATGTGTATTGATGGAGGGATTACCGGATCAGCTGTTATGTTATTCCTACAAGATTTGTATTGTATTGCATTGTATTGTTCTCTATCGTTTTGTATTGTATTGTATTATATGGTAATGTTTTGTATTGTATTGTACTGTATGAAGTATTGTATTGTATGACAATATTTTAATGTTTCGCAATGTAATACATTGTATAGTTTAAATAGTGTGCGATAAACATATTCAAATACAGTATGTGACATCAACATTACAGCATTGAAACAGCACATCTCATCGCATTAACATTGCACACCTCGCATTACATCACATTGCAATGTAAGCAAAACACATCAATAAACAAACATCGCATCAATGGTCAATCGGCGGCACGTGACCAGCAGACGAGAAGCACTGTGCAAATATAATATGAGACGCGTCATGTAAAAGTAACAAAAAAATAATAAAAGTAATAATAATAATAAGAAGAAAAGTAATAAGAAGAATAATAAAAGCTATAACGAATAGTTATAGGAATCAATAGATCAAACAAATGAATGCAGACCAACAATACAAATACAAACACAAGTAAATCAAATAGACGATCAAAGGAAGGAATGGATGAAGAATGAATGGATAATTGGATACATAGAAAAATGGATAGATTAGTGAATGAACGAACGAACGAATGAACGAACGAACGAACGTTATTGGATCAGGTAGCGGGATCAACGAGATGACAAAAGGTTATCATCGTCTACAAGAATGCTGAATACTGTTTGTTTGTACAACAAGTGTACAAAAAGCGTACACCAAACATTTAACAATTGTATCGCAAGTGTACAACAGGCATACACAAAATTATTGGCGTACATATGAATTAATCTATTTATGATTATTATAATTTTCGTACGCGCTCGTCACCAAGAGTTTTTTTTACACAAGTAAGCATTCATCATGCAAATATTTACTTGTTTGGTTTTCTTTTTAAGCGATTTTTACTGTAAATAATGACAAAAATCTGTTGACGATTCAATATTTTGTAAGTTTTTAACGATCTAATTATTTATACAAAAAACTTAATGGTCCGATCCTTCTTTCTACGCTTGTCCTAACTCGTAACTGTAATCAATTTATTTATTTCATAGATATATACGCGCTTCAACACGCACATTCAAACATACATACACACATGTTTATGCAAACATAGACACGCACACACACACACACATTTGTACACAAACGTAATGTACTAAAAAAGTTCTGTAAAAATAGTGAACTTTGTAAATTTTGTTAGAAAATGAATGTTAGTTTTAACTATAGTTCAGTGAGAGTATTGAATGTTGATATGTTGAACACTTGACAGCTTCTTCTACGTACCTTTAACCTTACAGATTTTGAAAAGAAAAAAAATTAGACGCTACATAAATTGCTTTGATTGATTGGTTGATTGATTCCATCCTGTGGTTGATATTACGTGTGCGTGTGTGTGCGTGTGTGTGTTTGCAGGTGTTTGTTGAATGATGTTTGATAGTATATGTTTGTTTGTGGGGTCTATATGCATTTATATCTGTTGATGTGTTGTTTAAATTTGTGTGTATATAATTTGTCTCC